CAGACTGGTCAAACAGGAGCCTTGTCAGTGAAGCAGAGAGGTAGCATCTGGGAGGGGATTTCAACAGGAATCTCTGTTGGGCTGGGAGACAAGAGGCTGAACTATCCAGAGACATCAGAAAGTAGCAGAGCGTTGGACAGTGGCGTGGGTGTCAGAGACTCCAGTATTAGCCTGATTGAGCTCGGTGACTACAGTGAGGATGATGACGATGACATCACAGATATTACGTCGGGGATCTTTGCCGACTTCAACCTGGACTATGCTGAGGGAGAGGAGGAAGAGCTGAGCCCATTGAAGAATGCAGATGGAACCCCTGACTCCGTAGACACGCTTAATCTGTCCTCATCGATGGCAAGCACCTGTGATCAGGCCTTCAGTCCTGATCCCATAGGAACCCCTGTCCTACCTAAGTCCCTGGACAGTGGTTATGATACAGAGAACAATGAATCTCCAGAGTTTCTCTTCAAAGAGCTTGGAGATCCCCGAGGTGGTGAGAGGAGCCCGAGGCTGGGTGGAGAACCTGAACTAGTTCTGCAGGTGGGTTTGGGCCAAGGGATCTGCACATCCACAAGCACATCAGAGCTGCAGTTAAAGGGCCTGACTGATAAGAACCCCTACAGGGACTCAGCCTATTTCTCTGACTATGATGCTGAAAATGAGAGGACCCCTCAAGATGAAGGCAGCAAGTTCTATGCAGGTCCAAGTAACCGTGAATTCCCACCTGAGAAATTGAGCTCCATCCGGGATGATGATTGTGTCAAAAGGCAATTCAACAACAAGGAACATTTAACAAACCTAAGGCACATCAAAAGTTGTGTTTTGGTTCATCTCTTGGAGGATGACCCTAATTCACCCCATTCCCTTCCCACCCCTGGGTTTTCTATGTTGTCACCGTTTCCTCCACAGATGGGCGGCTGCTTGACCAAAGAGTCTGCCCCTGCAGGTGATGATCTCGGGTTGGAGACAGAGCCCTCAGGAGAGGAGCCTCCCTCAGAGCTCAGCTCCTCTCTTGGGTCTGAATCCTCTTCCACTGTACAGGAGGCATCGGGAAACCGTGACGAGGGGAACAGAAGAGCAGAAGATTGTTCCTCTCTCCAGTCTTTGCATTCTGACTCCACCATAACTGACTACAGAGATGAGGCCCCCAAAGAAAATGAAAATGGTGATGGATCCACGGAGGAGGAGGAGCTGCCAGAATTCAACCATGTCAAGGAAGAGCTGGAGAACAGAAGGGAGGGGGTGAGAATAAATGAGGAAGATTTTGAGGACATAGATGCAGAGGAATGTGGCTCACAGGACAGCTTATGTGACGAATCCAACGGCCCTGCTGACCTGTCCTCTTCCTCGTCATTGTTGGAGCTGTGTGGAGAAAGCGTGCGAGCGCCGCTGGAGGAGGCGGAGGAGGAAGATGACTCCGATGACAGCGAGTCTGATGAGGAGTTGAGGACCTACAACATCCAAGATGAAGACAGCGAGGAGAATGAGGAGGATTTCACCACAGTGCCGGTGGTGGTAAGCGACTGCAGCAGGGCCAGACACCTCCGCAGCCTCCTGAAGATGCCCACCCTGCTCACCCAGTCCTTCTGTGACGAGTTGGAGAGGAAGAAAAAAGCGGTGTCCTTTTTTGATGATGTTACAGTGTTTCTTTTTGACCAGGTATGACACGTTAAACTGCTCAAATGCAGTATGTGCATTATTTTATTTCTTTAGGGTGACTGAAGAATATTTGTTCATGACTTCCAGGAGAGCCCCACAGGAGAGCTGGCAGACTACACCTTCTCAGAGTCCAGTGGGCAGGAATCTCCAGAGGAAAAAACCTCTGACCACCAGCTGCAACCTGACCCTGAATTTGACTCTCAATCCTGCGAAACGTTCTGTGTTTCTGAAGAAACAGATGGGAACAACTCAGAAGAGGGTGAGTTTTTCAAGTACATAAAATGTTACAGAGTAACCCTAGTTGATTTGTCTTAACTGTAATCTGTGTGCATTCAGGTGGGGGTTATGAATGGGAAGATGACCTCTCGTTTGAGCCCCGCCCAACCTCACCTGACACCATCCCCGAGCCTCGGTCCTCACCCACATCCACCTCCAACAGCCCTGAGCCTCCTAAACCTGTAGCTGTAGCACTTAACCGTTTTATGGTCTCACGATTCTCTATCACACATGTCTCGGACCCCCACATGGGCTCGGCAACAGGTCTGTATTAACGGTCTTTCATACAAAGTTGGACTGTTGTGTTTTGTTAAATTATTTACACTGAAAATATGATCTCAAATTCCCAGTCACCCAATATTTCCAAGTCCAGCTGTCACTAAACTTTTAGAACCTTTTTTTTCCCAAATGGACAATTATATCGCTTCATTTTAAACCATATTTGCAAAAAGCAGTAATGCCACAATTCTGTCAAAGGCAGAGCAGGCAGGTCATCACGCTGAACCAGAAGGCAGCCTGCTGCACAACACAAGTGCTGCAGACTGTGAACAACAACCCACATTAACTTTCCTGCTAAAGTCTACTTCTTATCTAACTCACAAACATGGATACTGCATCTTAGCGGGTTGAACTTGAAATTAAGTGCTGGTTTGATTCTTACTCTGCAATACCACTGATAAAGACACACCGTTTGCCCATGCCTTGTAAGCTACAATGCAAGTTTGTGTACTTATTTCCCTCCCCAAACCCTTTCCCTTACTTAATAAAAAACAATTGATCATAAATTTAAAATAACACTGACATCTTTTTTTTACTAAACGTTATTTCAGTCGGAGTTTAAAATTGTAGCAAATAAGAAGTTTTTCTAAAATTTGGTGCACATAATGCCTAAGTGATACTCCACCAACAAACCTTTTTAGCATAAAATACCAACCCTACATAGGTTTGACATGTGGCTGGTAAAAAATGGAAGTTGTGTCCTTCACTGTTGTAGCTTTTGTGCGACTTTCTAACATAACACAATACATAATCAGTGTAGTGAGAGATATTTTGGTAAATATTTGATAGTTTGCAGCACACCAAGTGTAAATATACTGAGCAGAGAAGTTAATTAAAAGTGGTTTTGAGAAGTATACTATTTTATTCCTTCTGTAAAAACCTTGGAATCTACTGTCTCTGAAACACATTTTCTCTATGGGGAACAAAAAAGCTAATCTTTAAAAGCTACCTTTAAAGCACACCAGGAGGTAAGTAATTGACAGAAAAAGAATGTTTTTGGGTAGAGAATCTCTTAAGCAATTTGTTAAGTCTCTCTTGCAATGAACGTTGCAATACTTAATTTCCAATCAATTATTTCCAACAGGGAACAGTGAAGATAGTCCGAAAGATTGAGTGCTCTACGGCCCTCACAGGAGGAAGATGAGTCCTGGCCCTTCTCGCCACAGAAAAGCTATCTAGATGTTTTATAGAGTTTTATTTTTATCAACGTTTGGGCCATCTGACCCTGGTGACCTTTTATGAGACAGTGCCTCATATTCTAGTGAAAGACCCTCAATTATTTGCACACTTTGTTTTGTTGTTTAATCTTGTGACGAGCGATAGCTGCTGGTATGACAACCTGATAGTGGATACAAATCAGATCATATTGTTTGCAGAAATAGTATATTACTTTTAACATACAGTATATGAAAATAACTTGCTCAATGAAGCATCAGTTCCTGTTGATGACCGCACAGGTCATTACATTTGTGAATTATTAATTATTAAAGAAAATAAATAAAGGTAAAAGGAGAAAAACATAGTGAAATGACAGGCTTCATAGCTGCTCCTCTCATTTGCTGCCTTGGTCCATCTGCTATTTGGCATTTTAAAAGACTGTTACAGTTGTTATTGTTGGAGCCAGAGAACAATGCTTGTTGATTTGTTACATAAGCTGTGGTGGATTTCCAAACACAAAATTGGACTTTTATAATGTGGGTGGTGGTGATCGTGTTTGAAGATGAAGGTGCTGAAACTTAATTAGTCTCTTAATCCAAGTCATATCCAAATCATATTGATGGTGGGACTCGGTATGCCATGTTATTGGAAACATACTACAGGAAATCAATGCGTTGTTGCTCCCTAATTATGACCACCACTCAGTCACTCACTCACTCTGGTTAATGATGACCTACAACATATGTCTACAGTTGCCATATCTGTCTGAAGCACTTTGTATAGCCAAACTGGGTCTTTATTTGTAGAAGTGATGACTCTGCATTTCGCCATCCTGGACGGACATATCTAAACATGTGAGTTTCCCTATTTGTGTCCACGGTGCCAGCTACAGGTTCACTTTATTTTGTGGCATATTAGCTTTGTTTATTTTATATTTCATTAGCAATAGGAGGACACCAAAGGGATAGAGATTTGTTTCAACACAATTCAGTGGTGTCATGTCAGTATGCCATATATGTTGAATGTCAGTATCATCTTTATGCATATTTTCTACGTCTTGTCCATATTCTCATACATAGTGTATTCTATTACATTTGTGCTGAATGCCCGGGTCTGAGGTGTACAAAAAACAAAAAGACATTCAAAATATGACATATCACATATTGTATGAATGTTTTATCAACATGTAGCAGGTAGCTTGACTTGAATTACTACTGCTGTATCGACAGCTCCCTCCCCCTGTCCCTCTTCTGTAGCTCAAGTGCCAATTCTGTTTCCTCTCACCTTGCCCTTTAAGTTCAGCAAGAAAAGAAAACGTTGCTAGTATTTTTGTAAAATCTGAAAAGATGCCATCCAGGATGACAGTCTCTCAAATTTGCCAAAGAGATATTACAAAGCTTATTGGCTAAAGTGGTAGACATCTTCACAGAAGGTGAGGTGGGTTGTTCTGTGCACCGGTAGTAACATCATTGCTGTTTCCATTTTCCCCCCTCACTCATTGCTATTGTACTATCCTAAACAAATAAATCCAAATACTTTTTTCCCTTCTTGTGTCTGTGATATATTTATCTGCATTGATGTCGAGGGTAACTGTATGCAAAACAAACATGAAATACCAAAACATGCAAGTATGAGGTTTGTGCCCATTTAGATTTATTTTGGACAAGATAATTTATATGCACTTTCTGTACAGTACAGATATAATACAAACAGGGACAAGAGTGACAAATGGACAAAATGGAAAGCTATATAAAAAGTAAAAAATGCATTTTGCTGCCCAAATGAGCTGTGTAATAAAAGCCTGATCATACCACTCAGTGTAAAGGACTCACCCATGGAAAATTTACTTTTCATTATGTAACTGTTGATTTATTGCAGTCTAAGAGGCATTTCAGCTCATTTACACATTGCTTTTCCATCACATACAGTTATAAATGCCTCTGCTCTAAGCTTTTCTCTCTCAGATGAATGTATAATACTGAGAATCAAAAGCTATGATAATACTGTACCTTATCTGATAAGCTACCACTCCCTCAAAGCAAATGTATATATAAAAAAGACCCATTATGTATGCACTGTATTTCATCTCTTGGCTATCTGGCAGCTTAGATATTACTGAAATTTAAAGCAAAGGAAAGAACAGCAATTCAACATATTGTATTATTTTGGTGGAATTGCAATTGCACTGTACTGGAGCTTGTTAAGCAAAAGAATTAAAGAAAAAAAAAAAAATCTTGACATTAAGCAACCAACACAAATATTGAAATAATCCCACTTATATTTTCAGGAATATAAAAAATACAAGTTAAACTGATGCATACGCCCTCAAACCAGTTTACATAATGATTGGGTCAATGCTGCATGAAGCATATGTTTAAAAAAACAAACCAAAAAAAAAAAATAGAAGAAAGGCACAGTTCCCACATTGAAAATGTGGGTATACTGTATCACAACTAGTAAATATATAGTACTATATCACTTAACAAAAGCAGACTTATACTCAAGAACTGTTCAGTGCTAGCTATCTGTGGCAGTATCAAACCTACACTTTGTCTTCAGTGCATATTACAGTGATGCACTGAAAACCGTTATGACCATCTTACATTCACCCTCAAGCCGCACTTAAAACAACTAATGCAGCGTGTGCCTTCACTGCCCATTAATGTAAATAATCCTCAAATTAAATTTACAGTGTATAGTGTTGAAGAAAAACTGAAATCCCATAGTAGAAGTGCAGATAAATAATAACAATGTGACTGCATCACTAGTAAAAACCTATTAGCCACACCTTAACCACACCTCGTGTGATCTAGAGAAGAACTAATAAAATCTACTGTCACACTTGCACTAGAATGTTCAGGCTGAAACATTCAATGTTTGTGGAAATGTTTGCAAAAACATCGAGGATTAACCGGAAATTCTCTGAGTGAATTTCCACGGCAGAGAAACTATATTCTTAGTGTAACATGTTCCTTGAGGTGAACCCCCCCGCCCCCCCCCAATCACACTTCTGGGCCCTCTTGTGTTAACATCATACAGCTCAAACATGTCAATGTTAGCATTTTTCTTTCTCCCCTTCAAAAGGGCCCATTAGTGGACAAAGGGGGACAGCAGGCCGCTAGTAGAAGATGGGTGCAGATCGGTCATCAATGAAGGTGGGCCGGAGGTAGACCTCCAGGGAACGGTCACTGTGGGGAGAGGAGGGGTGAGACAAGGAACAGTGACCGTTAGGTTGAAAACATGACCACATTTAGAGAGATACATGGTAAACTACGTAACCACACCCAAAAGAAAATCGGCCTTCCCATATTTTTTGTTTCTTACACTAAGTTGAGCAAACAGTTGCAGTACTGTGAGTTTTAGCAAGCATGTAGTGAGAAAACTCTAGTAAAATATGGGGAAAAAGGCACGCATGCAGGGTTAGTGTCTCCTCTGTGTGATATTGTGATACAGACACACACACAAAAAAAAATCAAAGTAATTCTTTTACAACCCAAGGCCTTCAGGACTGACAGAACCAAATGCTGCCACATCCATGGAGGCCCAAGGACAGAAAAGACCAGTGATTCCCAGCATCCTACTGCAGCCAGACAGCCAATGACAGCAGAGAGAACCAGGCAGTACAAGAGAGAAGGAGAAAAGTGATTGGTTGGCTGAAAGGCAATGGAGGCTCATGACTTACGGAGGTCCTGTTCCCTCAGAACCGGGACAATTCTGGACCCAAACTGGAAGGTAAAGAGAACCTTTGGGTTTGAATGGCTCACCTCTCAGATCATGCATGGGTCACATTTTGTAACGACACTGCTGGTTAGTCTGGTGCAAGATGAGCATACTGTAGGTTGACAATAATAACTTTAACTGAAATGAGGGATGGAAAACAGAAGTACACACCGCATGCTCAACATGCCATACACTGTATGCTCCTTTTTAAATCCTAAACTATGTGAGCCTTAGTGGAAATCAACACTACTGGAAATGCAATGCAGTCAACAGGCTGGTGTTCTGAAGTTTTGTCTGCTAAATTGTGTTCATTATTGTTTCAAATACAAATCAAACATAAGCCAAACGTATGAAATACAACCAAAAAAATAAGATAAGCAGGCAGAGTTCACGTAATCATAATGCACATACTGTATACAACACCACCACACTGACACACTCGGTTGTTTTTTTACAATGAAACAGAGCAGCACAGATGCTATGGGTGTTACTAGGGGAGGGGATGAAACTGCATGCTTGAAACACAGTTGTGGCTTGAAAAGATTCACACAGAATGTTTTTTAAAAAAAAGAAAAAAAAAAAGGAATTAATTCAAACATTTAAGGGAGAAAGAAAATCAGTTCAGAGCCATAACTTAGAAACAAGGAAAATGTGCAACAAAACTGAAAATGTCAGAACTGACAGAACAGATTTCTCGTCAGACCAAACCGTTTATTAATATATAGAGTTATGTTTTATTTAGAATACCTTTGTAAAAAGTCACCATACATTCAAGGTCAATTTTCAGTATCACATTTTCTGGTTTCCCTCCACAGCATGCATAAGATAAACACTTTTCTTTTTACAAGGACATTTTTTTTTTTTTTTTTTTAAATAAAAAGACCAAAAACTACACAGCCACTCAGGGAATACAATCATAAATAACACTGAGAGCTGCAAAAGCCGTGGTTGTCATTTAACCTAAAACTAATTCACAGCTGTTATTGAGGATACGCAACAGAAGATTACAGACCCCTCCAAACTCGCTGTAGCTTCAGAAAACGACCAAACTGAAGGTTATCAGAGTACGGCATTTTATTATAACTGACAATTTTGGCAGTAAGTTTGGCCAAGAGTGGCAGAAAGTTTCTGTGGGGCCGAGGGTGGAAAGTTTAATTGAAAATTTATAGGAAAACATGTTTTTGCAATGATCATAATACAGTGCAATTTGGTGGACTGATGGAAACAATCTATATATGTAGATATATATTTATATATACTGTATATTCTTGAAGCTCAATTTGAAAATGTGCTTCATTGCCCATAAAGTATGTGCTTAATAGAAAAAAAAAAAGAAGCAAAGTAAGGCAGATATGACACACAACCTCTGGACGGAAAATCAAGTCTAGCACTGACACGAGGAAGCACAGCGCGACCTACGGGATCTCTCAGAACAGAAACATAGTAATCTGCTGCACAGCCTTACTTTGAGCAAAGCTTTTATGAGCGTGTGTGTTGGATGGGAACTCTAACGTGTGCTTAAAAAAGAAGGCCATTCAGCCAGTGGCTTTAGTACAACCACATTGAAGTCTTTTGGCACTTGTACAGTACATGAACATGTCCTTTAGTTTGACAAAATGACACAACCATGTACATGCATGAAAGACAAGCAGTAGCAAAGGCAGTCTCTTGAGAGATCAGTCCATGATGGTGGACTGTGATCAGAGATAGAGTACTCAGAGTCCATATCGCTGCATGCCGAGCAGGTAGGCCCCGCTCTGGCTCTCTCGCTCAACGCAATCCTCCACCCACCAACCGCTACTGTCCACACCGACACCACCAGCAGCAGCCCCCAGGATGGATGGAAGGAGGAAAGGAGGGACCCGGGGAGGAAGAGAGGACAGAAAGGAGGGATGAAACTGGCCTCTTCCACTTGGAGAAGGGGTGTGTGTGGAGGCAGAGGAGGAGAGGTGGAGATAAGCGGACAGGAGGGAGGCTAAGAGGAGGGAAAGATGGGGAGGAAGAGGCCCCTGTGCTATCCGGAGCTGTCTGTGTCTGTCTGTATGTCTGTTCTCACACAGTCGAAATCAATTTGCCATCAGGACTGTCACTGTGGAACAAAGAGAGAAGGAAGCTTGCCAGGTCGGACACACTCAGAGAGAAATGGAGAAAGACAAGACAGGCACAAGGAGGCAGGGTAGAGTTTAGGAGATATGTAGGTGGGGGTCGGGAAATCTACCTCGCCCCGCCTACAACTCCAAACACACCTGCCATGATCAGGAAGATTAGACTTCTAATTCCCTCATCAACACTTTTTAATCCAGATCAGTGTATTGGCTGGATATTAATGCCTACATCAAGCAGTTTTAGTAAATATTTGTCTGTCGCGGAAAAGTTGACAAAACCCAAGAAGTTAGAGTTGATGAGAAAATCAAGTCATCTCCTTAGCTGGAGGGATGTAGTGTCAGATTAGTCTGTTTGGGGTGACTACACCCCGCAGGACAGTGTTGTCTCTAAATACTGATACAGAAAAAAACACATTCAGAGCAGACAAGAGTATGTAAAACAGCTTGACACTGGTGCCCAAAGCCCCAGGCTGACAAGCAGTGATGACTGAGATGAAGTCAGCATGATGTCTACTGTCACAACATGTACTCCACCAAACAGTGATACAAGGTCACATACACACTGTCTCCCCCCCTCCCACTCTGTCTCTCACACAAACACACATTTATATACATGTACACAAGGATGTACGCCCTGATTGGACAGAAACAGGCACAGCATAAATCCTAACCCTAACCTCACACATCCCTGGTGAGTCAGCAAAGGACTTGATAGGATTAAAGTGAAAATATACTGGGCCGCGAGCACTCAGACAATAAGCTAGGACACTGACCCCACTTGACTGCATTCATTACTTTAAAAATCTATTTAAAAAAAAAAATTTTAAAAGTGAAATAAGCGAGAGCAAAGAGCAAAAGACAAAGAAGACACTGTAAAAAATATATATTTTCAGAACTGTGCATACATCTCATGACTTGGGGATTTTAACACTACAGCAAAATAAAATCTAGTGCTTGAGCCTTACTATATTATTCACTAGTTCTGATTCTATCAATTGATTAGTTGATTGACAAAAGAATTCACTGCCAGTTATTTTGATAATTGATTATTCAACAAATCAATTGTCATGGCAAAATAGTCACACATTCTCTGGTTCTAGCTTCTCAGATGTGAAGATTATTCAAATAGATATGGACTGTTGGTCAGACAAAACAGGTAATTTGAAGACGGCTCTAGGAAATTGTGATTGTCACTATTTTCTGACATTTTATAGACTTACTGAATAATTGTTATAAATAATCTGCAACAAACAATGCTAAATACCCCTTGAACTATGTACATGAGGGTGACACTGTGTGGAACTATCCAATCCAAGTGTCCTATTTCCCTACCACATGTATACAGTATTTATTTACAGTATGCTAAATGTCATAGAATAGTCTTTGTAGTTTGTTAAGAAACCAGTGTACTTCACCATTTTATTCTAACACAAAATGATGCGATATGTGCCGATATGGTGATATGGTGTACATCAACAGCTCAATCCAAAACCAAGCATGTTTTAGGATCCATCCGGACTTTTTAGAGAACACAAAATTTTCCCATTACACAACATACTCTAAACATGCTTAGAATGTGTATGTAGCATTTAATTGGGACACTGCGTATGTTAAGCAGTTACCTTGCTGTCGCTTGAGTGGCTTGAGCATGTAGTAACTCAGATGAAATGCCATTTATCTAAGGTGATTGGCTCACATGTCTTCTTCTGATAGGTCACTAATTCTAAAAACTATCAACGTTAAACAATTCAGATGGCAGCAGCAGTCATATCATCCATTACTTACAGGGCAGGACAGAAAAGGCACTTACCTTGTGGCAAAGCGGCCATCATAATCCTCAATAGCAGGCTGAAAAGATACAAGTAATATTTCTTACTTGTGTCTGCTTATATAGCTAGGATTGAAGAACATGCTGTACTTGCATACAAACACTAGGTGGGAGCAGAAACTCATCAAATGTTACTGCAGGATTACTCATATCCAATTATGCAACATAAGACTAAACCAGATGGGGGGCTACAAATTAACAGAGCAAGAGTAACAAGTGCTGGTGGATACAGCACGTTAAATTTTATCTACCTGTGTGCCGAAGCCTGCCATGCTGTAGGGGCGTGGGCGGGTCTGTGCTAGGCTCTGTGCAAGCAGTCGGGCGGTCAGGCCATAGTCAGGTGTGGGCAGTGATCCATCATTCTCCAACAAGTTCCCTGTGCTGCTACTTTTCCCATGGTGCAGACTGGGAAGGGAAGAAAACAATGGCCTCAGACTTGGGCTCATTTGGATTTACGACTATAGCATATGATAGAAAAATGCTACATACTTCACTTTGAGCTTCTCATTGTCGCTCTCAGGGAGCACACGTGTGTAGGAAAATGGGAACCAGCCGCGCCTGAGAAAAGTGATGACCGTGTTATACTTATACTACATTTCTAGTACCTACATGTGGGACAGTCGCCACACTATGGATTCAAGGAAAATAGAATGAATACATTACTTACATCTTATTCTTCTCATTCTCCCCATAGTGCCAGCCATCGCGGGCTTCAGGCACTAGCAGGGTGATGACATCTCCCTCAGAGAAGCTGAGCAGGGTGCCGTTGTCACCTGCAGCGTGGGAGAATATTGCCTGGACACGGGAACGCCCGTTCTTTTCCAGGCCTGCTGCCATGGAACTGGACCTGGGCAGGGTCCGTGTCTCTCCTGAGGAGTATGCAGATGGAAACAATGGTCAGACCTGAAATTCATTACGAGCTCAGACCACCAGGGTCACATAAGCTCTGACTAACTGAAGGCAACATTTCTAAACATCCGTACATCACTGCCAGATTGACTGACACTCACTGTCTAATCACCATAAACAAAGGAAACTATAGTGGAGATGATTGGTAGTCTATGTTGTGCCAACATTTCTCATAAATATTGTTTCCAAGTGTTTGTTCTACTGTTGTACTTCTACCTGGTCCTCCTTTGACATGCTGAAGAGCAGCAACCAGCTTTGTAATTTAACATACAAGTTGGTAGGTGATCTCAAACTGGAAGTGATTGCAACCATTTATGTGATATTAAATGCTCCACAATATACCTTTAAGTAAAATGATGACAGGAATAGGTTTATGATTTTTTTTGCTCATTAATTCCTAGCAGTGCTCATATATCTTACCCACGGGGTTCTTGTTCTTGGCGGGGGCAGGCCTGCGGACAGGGAGGGTGTTGGAGTAGACGTCGCTGACCTGTCTCTGGGGCTGAGCCTGGGACTGGCCCTGCGCTTGGGTCTGAGGGGATGAAGGCCTGACTTGGGACACGGACATAGTCCCTCCATCTGTCCAATACTCCTCCCCGTGGACTCCTGTTGTCCCATTGACCATGGACATACCATCAGGGCCCATCAGCCTCTGGGATAAACAAGTGGACATATGGACTCAATAAGTCAAATTGGGAAAATGGCTTCACCTGTGCAACACTATAGTAAAATTACTTCATTACTTAATCTGCTAAATTAATGTTAATTCACCTTGATAAGAAAAAAAAAACCAAAACAAAAACAAAAAATTATAACTTTGGAGTTGACTTTGCAGAAATGAAGTCTGGTGAGTTCATGTAAGCCTAGCCTGTCAGCTGCTGCACAGCATGAAATGTAGACTCTAAACAGCCCATTAACTTTAGTGCCATCTTTAAAGTGAGACTAGAGAGATGTTTGTCTGATTAGCATCTTTATGGGGGGCAGAAGTAAAGCAATTCCAGTTAAGTAATTCAGCTCTCTTAAGAAAAACAAGGACACATCAAAATAAGTTTTAAGTTTGTGATGTCATATCAAAGACTACAGTATGTAATTAAATTTAAAATTAAGTAATTGCTCAAGCTTAAAGTTAGCTTCTTTTGACTATGAGAAATAAAGACACAAAAAATGAATAAATAAATACCAAAATCTTAATTCCTTTTGAACACAGAACAAATATAAATAAATAAAATGGACATTTTTAGCCTTCATCAGCCACTCATTTCCCTAAAACCTACCGCTGGGTGTCCCAGGCCACTGCCCATAAAGACAGCCAGCTCTGGGGGTACAGGAAGAGGTTGGGCCCCAGGGATAGGGTCTGAGATGACCAGGTTGGATTTGGAGGTGTGCAGGGGGCTTGTGCCCCCAAGGGCGGCAGAGCCCATCTGCTGGGCAAGGAGCATGGCCCTCTCTGGCAGCTTGTTGGGGTCTGAGCAAGCCTGTTGCCACACTGGAATCTTCTGGGTCAGAAGGTCTTTGCCCTGGAGGAAGAAGGAAGGAAAGAATAAAGAAGAGACATATTGATGTAGCAGTGATGTGACCAGAAAAATTTTCTTTGCTAAACCTTCAATTTCCTCCCTATTCTCAAAAAACAAACTAAAAACAGTTCAGTTCTCTAAAGGTTTTTCCTCACTCTGTAACCCTGACCACTGGCCTTTGCACAGCAATGATAATGCGCTGCGTGGGTGAGGATGTGGGACAGACTAACCGAGGTGCCCATTTGAGCGTCTCACAGCCTGTGGACACGGCTGTTCTTCTATATATATGAAAATAAGAGGTCAATGGATCGACGGGAATGCACACATTTCTGTATGACTGTACAGTATACAAGCATGCACACATACAAAACACAGACAGATTTGTCCCTCTGTATGCGCCAATTTGTAGCTCTCACCATCTCTTTGTCTCCCTCTCTCATACACATACACACGGAAGGGTTCTTCAGTTTGCTGAAGGTGAACTCCTCCCACGCACACCCCCATCCTGATTAATGACTAGACTCCATGTTGAAAAAAGAAGCGGCAGCACAGTCCACACACACACACACACACACACACACACACAGGCTGGCAGTTCACACCCACCAGTAATCCCAGGAGATTGATGTACTCCATTACCCAAGAATTTCAAATGCTTGGATAATGGATAGGCATGCATTTGTAGCACACATGCAGAGACATACACAAAACAAGTATAAGGAAATCAAATTGACTAAATTTTGGTTAATAACATTACACTACCTTTGATGGGTATGATACCTGGGAAAATCTGTTTGGATTCAAAGGTTCTTTACTTCAAATGTCAACAACAATGCAAAAACAACAAGCAGGTATCATAAAATGTTCTAGTGACTGTAAACAATATGGGTGAGAAACCATCATTACCAGCTCTCATCCTGCTCATTGCACTGAGCTTTAATTTCAGTCCATCTTCCGCAACACTGTTATGATGCCCTCTCCTATTAAAGTCGTCTCTCTACACAAAAATGTGGCCAGACGCTCAAAAGGTGCAATGATGGATTATAGCTTCAGATATACCTGTCAGCAGGGCATTGTCTACAGTCTTAATGAATTTTTAAAATGAAGAGGCCCCTATGAGCGGTCAAAGCTAATGTAACTTTGAATTATATATCTTCTATTATGCTTTTTTCGCTGAACAAAAAGGTCTATAGTAGGTGAGTTTTCAATAAAACAGATGACAGACGGGGAGTAGCTGGCTAGAATCAACATCAGAGCAAAGAGGAGCTAAGTTTATATATATATATTTTATATATATATAATAAGCTAAGTTTTATAAATTAAACTATCAAGCTCTGCACATTTTTCTTTTTGAATATAATTGGCAGAAAATGTGTTCCCGATTAGTTGAAAGATCTGAAAACAGGTTAAGCTCGATTAGTTACTGAGGTGATGAACACATTATTAAAAGAAACACAGATTCTGACCATAAACTCATATCTGTGCATTGCCTTTATTGAAGGCCATGACAACCAATTTTCTCAATCAGCTTCTTGATATGAGCAATGATATCCCACATGAATATGCTATCTTTTGCCAAATTTCAACAGGTTTTCTTATTTCAAATGAGAGATTTCCATGTTTGACTATTAGTCAAATTTGTACATACCCCTGAAGTCCCATAAGATTATTATTATTTTTTTTATCTTGTGGGAACAAGTTAATACCTTGCGCACACAAGATTATCTTGTGGGAATAAGCGCACATGATAATAACTTGGTCCGCACAAGATAAAAAATAAAATCTTATGGGACTTCAGGTTAAATTTGCGGGGCTTGGTTAGGAAAACATGACACTGTGTATTTCTGTCAGAGATGGATGGCATGACAGCTCTCATGACAGGTGTTAAACAAAAAAATCAAAGCCTGTCAACTATATTTTTCCCGAAAGACAGTTTGTCATTTAAGGTAGTTCACAAGTGAAGTTTTCTGATAAGTTTTAATTAGTTATTTGATGCTATTTCAAGTTATGATGGACAGCTCAGCCCTGCTTACGACTGAGTCCACCACCTTGATACCGCGGCTCCAACCCCGATCACTACTGTGTCCCAGCGCCCATGTAAGGGATATTTTGGCTTCATTTTTGTCCCACACAGGGCTGATAAAGCAGATTAGCTGAGTGGAAAACACTTAATTTCAATTTTAACTTAAATTTTTGCTTATTTAGTCATGGATATAATGAAATAATGAGTTTTGAAACCATTTTTTTTGTAGGGGCTTTAAAGTAGCAGTATTGACTTAAACGGCTGTCTTCTTGAGTTAGCTGTGACTTCCTGCAACAAAGTTCAGCTGTAAACACTTATTAATATATCCCCATCTGTTCTAATTCTGTCATCCATGTCTCCCCTTATCAGAAAATACTTTTTTTCATTTATACATTGTTGATGGTCAAGTGGCACTTGGACTCACCTTGCCATGGTAGGCGCTGCTGTTCTTGGCCACGGCACACTGGCGGTCCACCAGGAAGCAGTACCTGCGACGCTCCTCAGACAAGGCTGTCTTGTATCCCTCAGCTATGAAGGTGTCCAGCTCAGTCTGCTTACTGCTGATGGTCTCCACAAACTGATGGGAAACACACAAGGATACATGGACAGGTGAGAAGGAAGTTGTGGTTACCAGTGCACTGCAGGTCCTTCATATCTTAGGCCACTTTTCACATTTACTGTAGTAAGCAAGGCCAGTGGACAGTAGGTCTGACAAGGAAATGTCCATGCAGCTATCTAACATCAAAGTGCTTTTTTTAAGTTAAGTTTTTTTTTTTAAATAACCCTCTGCTTCACATTCGCAAAATGATATATATTCACACTCTGTAACTGCTTAGTACAGCACAGTATTGTACTGCCAATCGCTGCACAGCTCCACTGCAGCAATTAGGGGTTAAGTGCACCTTGGTGGTAATAGTTGTGCGAGGAGAGAGCCTTACGCAGTAACTTTTCCTTGGTCAGATTTTCCCTGTCGAGCGCTGTCGAGGGCAAGGCAATTATGACTGTGGGTCCTGCAGTGTGGAGTAGGAATTGCTCACAAAGGCCCACAAATCTAATTTACATGTCAGACAATAACAGGTGTGTTAAAGTGTGTCTGAGTGAGTAACAGCAACAGAAAGGGATGGAGATCCAGCACTGTCGGGTTTGTCTTAGCATGGGAAATGTCTCACCAAGTTCACTGACAAAAACACACATCCACAATGTGTAATGTCAGTAACGGTGGTGAGAAGCTACGAGGAGTATTATTTTGAAGAGGAAGTGGCTTAGCTTAGATGATTTTTGTGAGCGTGCATGTACATGTCAGGCCCGGTATTTACAAACAGCAGAGTTTGCATGTTGGTAGCTAAAAGTTTTAGATACTGTAGTCTCAAAGTAGGTCGACTGCATCCAGTTTGATGGCTTAAATACTGCAACATCTGCTGATAAATTCTGACCTAGAAGAGAGTGTTATATTTACATGAAGTGATTTGACCCAGACTGAACTCTTCTTTGGGGTATTGGCTGGTTTGAAGTTTGTTATGTGGGTATGAAATTTAACCAGAATGCAATACACATACACACGTTTCTTTTGCTAGACAAACTGACTTGTCACCAAATACAGTTCGTTTTGAATTCTTGCAATGATTAACATGCTGACACATGCCATCTCAACCCAATATCAGGATATGGTAGACAAACACTGCATCGATGATTCCGTTGCTTTTGCTATTTCAGCTTCAGCCATAGGAGAGAAGAAATGATCATAATCCATGTTGTTGGTGGTGGTGCGGTGTGATTAATAGTTCCTCAAGTTCAGTATTCCCAAAACATTACAGTACATTTGAGAAAGTTTCACGTAATATTCCACATGACTGATAAAAAGACTACATTTATTAAGTTGGAGTTCCTCCCTGCAGCCAAATGGAAGTTCCTGTGGTGCCACCACACAGTGCAGATGTAATTCATTTAGTAACCACCAGAGCACACTACTTCCACACTGCCATCAGCCACAAGGTTAATCATTGGAATTCCAAGTATGGAGGAATACTTCACTTACTTCTTTCCCTAGGTATTTACCCCATCGATGCCACACGCACAAATAGCTCTTACTAGTATTCATTGCTGCTTTTACTAGAATGCATTGTCAGTTGTAGAACGCTTACTGTATTGATGCTTGTATGTTGTTCCTCAAATGTTAATCGCTTTGGATAAAAGCGTCTGATGAGTAAATGTAAATGAATATTTTAAGTGGCTAAATGATACTGAACACAAACATTTTGAGGGATGACCTTTAGCATTAGAATGGGAAGAAATCCTCCTCCATCATAACACAAACCCACAGAGCCAAGTTGTCAAATCAAGCAAGCGAGGGACGACAGGATGATGAAGGCATTTTTCTCCCGAGAGCAGCCTGACCTTATTCTGTTCTTTCTGCACACCTTAAGCTCAAATTAACCACTTGGAAACTGGTTCAGTTAGTTGCTTTCGTTCTTTACAGGCACAGCGTTCAGTTAAAGAGCTGAGCATCGCCTCAACACGGTGACGAGCCCTCTCCTCCTGTCAAATCCACATGGCCCAATTTTCCAAGCATTCAAAAGGTCACCTACGTAACCCAAGACAATGGGTGCAGAAGGAAAAGCCCGGGCAGACACCAGCCTCTATTATATCTGAGCGACCTCAGGTTACATCACTGCTAAAATGACTTGTTTTGCAAAGGTTATACATATAAATGAAACCTGCTACACGTCACCGCTTTCAGACTAACTGATCTGTGTGTCCACTTGACAAAATGTTAATACCCCAGCAAAAACTGCATGTGACGTTATTCCAGTCTATTGCACTGAGCACCAATACAGTTTCCAGTGATTACAAGCACTGGGAAAGGAGGGACTCTCACACTTCCAAAAGCAAGGCATACAACAGGATTCAAAACAACACTGTTTATACTCCTTTTCATTCTTGTGGGGATTCAAAAGCGCTTTTTTCCTGCACAGTTAGCTGCTTAGGTCTGCTCTTCTGTTCCTTCATCATCAGCGCTCTTTGAAATCAAAAGTATCGTATCGTAATGCTTCAGGGCACAACAGAAAGCATCTACACCTACAGTACCTGCATGAATCTGTTGTGAGTGCACTTGCACGTCAACAACCCCTTTTTTTCCTGCATCTGTATGAATCAACAATTCCAGGTTGGCATCACTTTTCATTTTTTTATGTCACCAAGTGGACAAAACCCTGAGCTTATCAAACATCTTGAGATATTAATACTGAATCCCGAATGCCGTCTCTCTCCATCTCTGTCTGGGCTCTTATTAACAACCTATACAATGCAAGTTCATCTAGATGAAACCCGCTTTTCTAAGGTACCTTGGTCCACTCCACTGAACTACATAATGAGCTGATTAGCATTTTGGCAGGGGCTTTACCCACTGATGAGACGGCAGAGTGGAAGTGTCTGAAGGTTGGAGAGATAAGGGAGGGGAGGAAAGACAGACAGAAGTGGGAGAGACAACAGCAAAGAGTGTAAGAGAGAGAGAAGGAGGGAGACAGATCAATGAAATGCGGCCACCATCTGTGTTCGCTGCCAGACTGTCCTCAGACACACTTTACTTTTTAATGAAAAGAGAGGAGAGATAAAAAAGAAAAGTTAGAGCCTCTCATCTGCTAAAATAACACAGATGTGGTGGAGGAGGGCGAGGAGGAGGACATGTCGAGCTTGCCTTAGCAACTTTTACTTGTACTTTCTCAACTGCCTCTCCGTCTGCACAAATCAAACTAAACACTCTTCGGCGACATGTCTGTAGTCGGTCGCTACATAAGCACTTTCTATGTAGAAGGCTGTCATTGTGAAGCACAGGTCTTGAGGGAGCGCAGGGCTCTGTCCCTCTCTGTGTGCCGTCCTTCCCGGGGGACTCTGGCACAAACGAGCTGACTTTTCTCTCACACGCCCACAGCCATGATATGATCAGTGAAAGTGAGAGATTGATTTTCCTTTTCCCTGCTAACCGACTGTATGAGTACAGAGCCTGATGAGCTCGCACAGACGGGCAAAAGTGATCCATCGAACAGACTCAGTAAGAGTGTGTGGTAATGCTACCACTCTTTGTTCTCTATGCACCAGGTTTCTTGTTAGTGGTTTGGCATCAGTGCATCTGTCGCCACATCTACTTTGATCCACAGCAAAATACTATAATGAACAGGATGAATTACTGGCAATTAAATACGGCGTGGTACTCAAAGTTTTCAGTGAACCAGTGATCTTTCAGTTGTTGTCACCATCTGGCCAAACTTTCAATTAGAAAAAATAAGATAAGATAAATCTATTTGGCAGATTGCAAAGAATGAGCTTTCTTCTGGAGCCACCAGTAGGATGACAATTTTATCATTGCACACAAGATATTTTGTATTAGCTGAGCACATCCGTACTCCTCAGAGGTTTTATTGTTAATGCCCCTGTGGTCTTTTGTAACTCCTCAAGATAAACTCTAAATTAGCACCATTACCCATAAGGCTGTCAGGAGGTTAGTGCAACAACATTTTTTAGAGTTAAAGAAATACATTATTTCCATGTTTTTTTGTGGTGTGTGTGTGTGTGTGTGTGTGTGTGTGTGTGTGTGTGTGTGTGTGTGTGTGTGTGTGTGGGGGGGGGGCAAAACGGACTGGTTTGCAACAAAAGACTCCTGCATTCCTGTTTCTATCCATCAAATTGTGCTTTGTGTCATCCTGGGAAACCCAACAGGAACATGTAACAACTTGCCATTCTTGACTGAGATTTTACTGGCTTAGCGCACTCAAACACTCCACCCATCCCAATCCCTGCTGCCTGCCAAACTGGACTGCTGCACACACTGGCCACTTTGATGCCTTACGATGACACTTCATACAACACCTCCTCGTGGCATCCCTGACACGGTGGAACAAACACAATATGACACCGCAGTCAGATCAATCCAGCACTGCCATGTCATCCCAGACAGGGAGGGGCAGATGTTTGTGTGTGTGACACTGTATAAACTTAGAGCCCTGGAAAGACAAGTAGTATCTTCTACAACCTGGGTAGAAAAAGAGTAAAATTTTCATACCCAATGAACTCTGCAAAATGTTGTACCTATAAGTGTTGGTAGAATCATGTTTCTGGCCCAACTATCGATTGGTCATGGCTGGCCACACTTAACAGCAAGACCAACAGCAGCTCAGTAATTACCCTGCAAGCCTTGACCTGTTAGTTTTTTGATCCCATCCCTGCTGGCAGTCAGATTTCCAGCTTCCAATGAAATCCTTGTGAAGTGAAGTAACAGCAGTCACACTGTTGCCATTTTCTGCTGAGTCATTTTTTTCTCCGTTTCACATCAACACCACAGCTACAGGAGTAAACCAATAAATAACTTGTCAACACCACCAGATTTAAGGCCTACTATAGGGTTTAACACAGAGATGTTGCATCTTTGCAGGCGTGTGTGTGACTACGTGGAGAAAGAAGACTGTCACGAATCCCCCTGTCAAGGAGGCGGTCGACTGACAAAACTAAATGCGAATGTAAATGTCGGCTGTCTGACTCCTGAAGACCAAAACGTTTGCAAATAACATAGTTCTTAAACATAGTGTCATATATAGCAGTTAAACAAGCATGTCCTCTCTGTCACCTAACCACCCGTACCAAAATAATACATGTTCATGGTTTCGTTTGAAAACAGACGTTTATTCCCAAACATATCTATCCATCTGTACAGCATCTTCCAACATAGCAAAGTATATTTCACATGACTGATCATATGGACCTTCAGTGTCCTTAGAAAAAGAGATTTCTGACTAAAAACACAGAAATTTGAAATGCACCACAGAAACTGAAACTCAGAGCATGATACGGTATAATAAACAACACCACGCAAAATGTCTTTTGTCTTATATACAGAGTAGGAAAATGAATAACAAATAACTATAAAAATGGCAAAATGTAAAAATCTTTATTAATAATATTCTGATATAAGCTTTTATTTTGAAAATTCTGTGTTTGAGGTACACCACCCTAAGAAATTTGCCATCTATCTACTCCTCTTTGGATAATCGAGTCAGCTATTTTGTGGTGAATATATAAATTTTATTCATTCTGTTTAAACCCTGATCAAAGCTGTGAACCGAAACACACTGGCTGAAGTAAATACGTACTCTTCCAGTCCATCAATCAGTGTAGCTGACTTATCATTTCCATGCGTGTGTCTCCGTAACTGCTGTATGTGTGTGGATGTACGAAAGATTGGCAAGGGCGCAGACTTCATAATCAAACCTCCACTATTTGCCTTCCCACTCAGGGCACCTCGTCGCCACTGCCTCCACCCCCATCCTTGCAGTTTTGTGTATCCTCTTTACTTTATGAAGAATAAAGTCATTATTTTGCACCAAGACTCACAAATCTCCAATCCAACAGTCACCCACATGCAAACTCTGCTCAAATGAAGTGCAGCAGTGCTACGAACCGGCTTGAGTGTGTTTATATTTTAATTATCTACATTTTGTTTTTGTCATTTCTGCGTGTTTTGTCTATTTTCTTGTTTTACAGTAGCTTGTCACAATGGAAGACATGCAATTCTGAATGGCCCAGTCCATATTTGATTGTTATATGGGATCTCTTCAATTTTCATTCTGTTTTTTAATTCCGAGAAAATCAGGCTTTGTTAAAAACAAATCAATAGGCTCACCTGCATCTCCTTCTCTCCGTACTTAGAGGGGTTCTTGCTGCCCTGGCTCTTCCTGCGCAGCTTCTTCAGTTCAGCCTGGCACTTCTCCAGACTCTCCCCTTTGCTCTTGTGTTCTACCTGGTATTTCTTCAGGGCAGCCTATGTGGGGCAACAGGCAAAGCACAAACAAACAAAAATTTAGAAACACAAATTAAAAAGCCTGGGTGAAATGAATACCATTAATACCATCCACAGCCACTGGATTCAACTAATTTCACTACAGTACGAAAATCACCCTGCAGGGCCTTGAAACTTGCTTTAGATATGTAATCCATCAGAACATTTCACCTTAATTTTTTGTTAGTTACATAATTTCTGTGTGCCACTGCAGATGCATGCAGGGATTGTTTTGGAAACTCCTTGTTGGTGTGCTTAAGAAGGCTTTGAAATCAATCTTTTAATTAAAGAAACAAGCAAATTAACATGATTATTTACAATGTTTGTTCATTATTCGTCTTCCAGATTCTATTTCGCAAACAACGCCTCTTGTGATTGTGTCTCTTAAAAACATGCACCGTAATTGATTACCCATCTCAAGCATATTTCAAGTTGATTTTCTTAGCATAATGGAAATAACAGAAATCAGTGGCAGCAGGCCAAGTAAAAACCAAATGTTTGATTTGTTGAACACGCAAAGAAAGTGGCCTGGTCCTTTTACAGCCACTTTATTTAGATAATGTATTTAATTTTCTTGTTTAATTATTTTTTGATTTATTGAGAACAACAACTTTGCTTCCGGGCTGTACCAGCTCTGTTGCTATAGTAACTGGTGTCTGGTGTGACAAAGCTCATGTGGTTTCTGTACGATGCAAAATAGGCAGAGGAGAGCTCATTCATGAGGGTTCACCACCCACATTTGCATACAGTAGACGCTGAGGATGTAGGTGTCCTTAAGGTATTGATTGGCTGAAAAGAAGCTGCTGTTGTCACTGGAGGACGAGCAGTATGACACATGCAGTGTCTGGATTTCATAGCAGAGCCGAGTGGTATTAGATCTGTAGGTCTGAGCTGAACTGGAAACAACTAGCGTCCTCACAACAATAAACTAAAAAAAACTGCTAGAATTTTACATTTGAACTTTAGCTACTATTGATTCATCTTCCAAATTCATCTCTGAACTATTAATTGGCTCGTTAGGTTTCCTAGTCTTTGAGGTAAAGCGGTACACCCAATATGGCTATTCATATCTACAATTTAACTCGCAGAAACCAAGATTCCCCATGGGACAGTCTGCAGCACATATATCATATGGTGTACTAGTGGTTAGGGAAGACACAATTGGTTATTGTGAAAAGTTTGCTTTTAGTTTGCCAAGTCAAATTGGGTAAACAAGATAATATTCCAAGCGTCCGCCTCAGAACTGGAATGTTCCTCCTAATTAACAAAGCAAAAGCCTGTTGGCTTTTGTTGCCAAAGCCCGTACCCACAACTCTTTAACCCTGGCCACTACTGCAGACAGACAATTAGTGTGATTAAATCTGATCAGAAACACAGGGGACAGTGGATGGCCCTTGGCCTCTTACAGCTTATCTGCCGGAGAGGTTCCTCTTCATTGGAAATCTATAGGCTGTTTTTGCATATTAAGATTTACGACCCAAATTGTGACCTCTGTGTAATGACTGAAGAGTGTTGTAATAACCCTGGGTAAGCCATTATGTGAGACAAGAGAATTTAGAGATCGAGACAGAGGGAGAACAGAGGGGGATGCACCACTGGGAGCAGAACACTGACTTCAGTCTTGGAAAACAGCAAGTCTTCCATTGAGCCTTTTTGAACAGAGTGGAAATTTCAGATGATTAATTCACAAAGTCTGAAGCGAAATGATTGCTATTATCACTGTGGGAAATTCATTAAAAGTAATTGATGTTAAAACCTGAGGGATGCGCCAAGACAGAAATGTTTGAAGTTTTTTGATGCATCTGAACTAACGTAAGAAGCACGCCACATTTCCATATGTTTTTCCATATCAGTTTAGACAACAAACACTAATTTGACATGTGTATGGAGTCAAAGATGAAATCATTAACATTCATGGTTTTCATTTGAACTCAACATGACATCTCCCCATTAAGTCAAGAGGCCAGGAGCCTAAAAGGACTCACAACCAACTTTTGTTCCCCTTTTAATTTTAAGAGCAACATTACATTAAGAGAGTGAGTGAGTGCCGATACGCCAAAGCAGCTCGTAGCGTGGCCCTTCCAACAATACAATATAATACAATAATGGCAACATTATCCCATCCCCCAAAACAACGCTCAGCAGTGCTGCTCTATACTCAGGCTGCAACCCACTCATTCTAAAGATATCACATGTAGACCAGCTCGACAGTGCTTACACACATACACTCCAGGAGGGGTTTATTATAATCAGTCTACCCTTGACGTGTGAGTAGAAGACAGACGTTGATCCAGATGTTAACAGACACAGGTGAACAGGTTACTTCAGTCAAATTAGGCCTTAGCAGATTTGACGTTACATAATATAAAGGACTGATATGAGCTAAAATATGGAGTGCACTTATTGGATTGAGGCTGTCCTCAGGCTTTGGGAGTGCGAGCCAGTCAGATACTCACAGTCAGATAACGAGCATCCAGCTCCACCTTCTTCTCCAGCTCAGAGAGCAGCTCGTTGTGGAAGGATTTCAACTGCGGAGAAAGCACAAAAACGGTTGAATAAAATGCTTATGATAGTTATTTCAATGACAAAACCAATGACAGACGCTGCGTGTGGATACAGAGGTCAAAGTTACTCTAGTAAAAGTTTTAGCAACTAAGTCCCGTGAAGATTCTCTGATTGATTCAGTGCTATCTGACACAATATTTAGTCACCAGATAAACTAAACTGACCTGCCTGAAGAGCGGGCTACAAACATTTTCAAGCTCTGCTGACTTTTTGAGAAGGTTTTCCCAGGCTTTAATGTGTAACAGTGTTAAAATGTATGTGCTTAGGGTTAAAGTACGTGGCAACAGGTAACTATTTATTCTACATTTAAATTATATCGTTAAATGAACAGAAGCAAATTTTATATATCTATCTATCTGTCGATGTATATATCTATCTCACACACTTATACTAAAAAGATTGGATTTGGGGGGAAATAATCCTTTCAATCAGCTAATTCAGCTCAAAGTGGCTGAAAGCGTTTTTGCAGAGTGAGGATTTTATCAGTTTTGTTCCAGATTTCTTAGATCGGACTCGTGCTGGCTGGGTGGACATTGGAGGATCAGTATGGGGACGAGGAAGGTTTACATACTGTACAAATGAACAGTGAGTATGAGCATGTGGGTAGATAAATATAAAAAAATATAAACCTCTCCTTTGAGGGCAGCTGGTGCCTCAGTGAACTCAGGGAGCCCTAGCTCAAGGGCATCCACATGATGAGCACCGATGCACCGACACTAATAACTTTGATGATGACTGTGGATAACTCGTCATACAAGCATTTTACCCTGAATGCCACACTGTTCAATTAACTTACTAGACTTCTCCAGCCACCCCCTGTGTTAGCAGCTTGGGTTTATATGAGCTCAGCATGTCCGTTCATTCAATATGAGTTCATGTTCATTTAATTATCATGTAGTCCATATACTGCTTGCAGGGGCTCGAGATCTAAAGGACAAATCTGTGACACGGCTGGACAAATTTGTTGTGGAGCATCACAGAGAAGAGCCACGCCGCCAAACTAAACTGTTTTATGCTGCAGTAAATTGCTGCTGTGTCTAACCTTTTACATAGAGTTTTACAGGGACTGCTGCAGCGTTGAACCACACAGCCAAAAACCCTTTGAGCTTAGAATACCAACCATCTCCTCTAGCTGCACTTGGATCTGTCTGTGGACCTCAGCCATCTGGAACAGCACATCCCCTGCACAGAGAAGGAGGGAGACAGGGAGAAAACACATGAACAACACTCAACAGCACAAGCATTCCTAGTGCAGAAAAACAGAGAAGAGCAAAAGCAGGAAACTAGAGAGGAAAGGAAGAAATATGAAAAGCAAGAGAGAGAAACAAGAGAGACCCCAGCGTGCAAAGCTCATGCAGTAATACAAGACACACAAACATATGGGACAAGTGACTTGTAACTGGGACAATGAAGAACATGATGGAAATACATTTTTTGGTATAAGATAACAGAAAACAAAAGTGATGTACGAGAAATGGGGGAGACAAAATGTTTAAAATTAAATTCTGGTTCTTCAAGCGTGTAAGTACTGATGTCTTGTGGAGATCAAAACATATTGCCTTTCTTTCTTTGATTAATCTTAATGTCAGGCAATGTGATTTCTAGAACAAACAAAACAAACAAAGAAAGGTTAAAGTCTCCACACAAAAAGGAGTAGAAAAGGAAAATAACCAAAAGGGAAGAGATAAGGAGGGTCATGCAGCTAGTATGTCATTGTCATATACCTACAGGCTGCCTCTTCTGAATATGCAGTGCATTGTCAAGAGAAGGAACACAAAGAGCTACATTGAGCGAAGGACACATAAACACCTGGTGGAAAGACAGTGTGAGATCTGCATGTACAGAAAAATGAGAAGGTCCAAAGCCCCTTGGCTTTAGCTCTGTCTGAGATATTACATATGGGTCATTTACTTGTATTGTATTCAACTATTCAGAAAACATACTTCCATTGAATTCAAATAACTATATTAATTTTAGTGAAAAGACGTTAGATTTAGCTTACTGTGTATAGAAAAGTAGGTTCTGGACATTTGTGGCTGAGTAGGAGCTGCACACTTCAGTGCAACACTTATATCAGGCTTTCTTCATCTCAATCCACACCCCCCTGGTGTGTTCTCTTTTGAAGGCAAACCTGTCAGAGTACATCTCAAAGTGCTTCGTACGTGAAATCAGAACTTGCGCTGAAATGGTTTCGGTATAAACCAAAGGGCTTTGGAGTGGTCTCCGTCTCGACAGACAGCACGTACAATGCAAATTGCGACAGACACACGACATTGAAGTGACCATGACAGAGTTGACTTAATTGCTCCAAAAAATAAAATTCTAAATAAATAAATTATTATTAATAATCGATATCAAAAAACAGGGCTGGAAAAATGTTTAATCAATAAAGTGAGATTTTTGTATTAAAAGTCACTAACATTTTAAGTTCCCCTTTTTACGGTTGCATTTATAAGCAGTATATAAACTTTTAATAAATGGTTTATAACACTATAATGTAAGCAGTAATAGTTGTAAGCAGATGTCAGCAGAAATAATGTCCAACTAGTAAAATTCTATTTCAACCAAATTGTTGACCTGTTCATCATCAGAAACAAGTAAGTGTGTGCAGATTCAAACAGTGTTAAGGGGACTTTTTTTTTTTCTTTTTTTTTAATGACCTGCTAAATTCAGTGCAATCACTGCCCCTACAACTCCTGTATACCCGAGACAGCGAGGCCTTTTGTCCATGGCGCAACCTGCTTGCTGATCTTGTGCCTCACAGGAGCTGAGAAGCAGGCCAAAGCATCCTGTCAGTTCCCAGCAGGCATGCTAAGCAGCTTACAGATACTCATCCCTGATCACAGCCCTTCAAGGCTTAGAAACCCTTGCATTCTGTTGGCGGCTTCAACTAGCTGGATCAATTAACAAATGAGCAGCCATCACTGTTCCACACACACACACACACACACACACACACACACACACACACCTCAAGTGAACCGGCAGTAGGACAGGGTGCCTACAAGAAGTCAGAAAGGTAAAAAATGAATGAATCTATGAGAGATCTCATCATCGGCAGTTTCATTACTGCTCAATGTATGATGCCAAAGCATAGGGTGGGGGTGGGGCGGGTATTCACACTTTGGAGATGCAAATAGTTACCATGGCAACTTTGATATCATATCACACAACAACAGTAACAGAAAATTAGACTGCAACCTTCAGGGGCAGTTAACTGCAGAGAATTCAATCAAGAATCAATGAAGAGCCATAACGTGGAAAATTTGAACACGTTGTGTAACATTATTGTTTCATGCAAAAAATATCTGGCAGTCACGACACCACCTGTGAGACTTAGTCTTAAGAACTGCCAGCTTGATGAGGATATCCGCATAGCAGCTAAGAGCGGCATGACAGACAGGTCGCTAGCCACGGTGACAAGCTCACAAACACACATAATGTAGACTCATAGATACACAACCACACACACACACGCTCAAAAGTAGTGAGTATTGTGTCAATATTTCCCAGCTCGCTTCAACCCCGCCTGTGTCCCTGGCTGAGAGAAAACAATAGTTCCTTTGTGGGGAGGTGAGCTCAGGTTGATCTGCACCTGCAGCTCAGCAACAAGCAGCCACATGCCTGCTAGCTTAAACCACTGATTCAGAGAAGGAAGCGTAGACACAGGACTCCAGTGCATATGAACAGACTGTCCCCTGAAGCATGACATCAGCTTGTGTAGCTGTACTGACTGCTTGTGTAACAGAAGCGATGATACACCCACACAGGTAAAGAAAAAGAAAAGGAAAGAAGAACAAAAAACAGAACAACACAATGTGGGCTATGGAGCAGGAAAAAAAAGTGGAAGTTAGCAATGCTGAGAGAAAGAGAGAGAACAAGAGAGACAGAGGGAGGAAGAGAATGGAGGTGGATGGAGAGACACTGAATCATTGGTGAAGGTCAAGCTGGATTCACTATGGGTTGTCATGGAAGCAGGATAATGCTAGGGTCGTTGCCATGGGAGAAGTTGCAAGATGAGGGGCAGCGGCTGCAAAGTGTTGTTACAAAACACTGTCCAAAGATCTCTACCCTTGCTATCAGCTATCATTACATCAGCATCTACTGTACACTTCCCTGGGGAGGAAAATGGATTGAGTCCCCACCTGGGGAGTCTGTGTACAGTACGCATGCGTGCCTAAACAGTACAGTGATGTTAATCTGCCTACTTAGCATGCAAAGTCACAAGGGAAACAACAAGTGGGCAACTATAATGGGGCAGTGGGATAATGTGCGAGACGGCGATAATAGCTGAGAGTCTGGGTGACCGTGTGCGCGTTTGTATACACATGTGTGAGTGCACTCCCCATATCACAACATTTAAAGACAGTTAATATGGAAGCAAGGGCAGCTTAAGTTTACAGTTCATCTCTCGCTCTCTCGTTGTAGTTTGTCAACTGGATGACCCTTTTCCCACTTTGCTCGTTCGCAGAGTCTCTCACGGGAGAAGACGACTGATACATATGACATGTTACTAAAACTGGAAGCTCAGCCTCACAGCTGTTCAACCTACTGTCCTAATATAAGTTTGTCCAGCAATGGTGTCATTCATTTAGGCCATAATCTGGGCTTAACGGGAGAAATGTAAGACCGTCAAAGAGAAGTGGGACACAGTGCAGTTGCAAGTAATCTTGACACTTACTCACTTACTTACTAAGACTGTCTCAGGTAGTTTGTTGATCATCTTGCATTGGATAACACGGTTATGTAGCAAATCCAAACCAGCTGGTATCAGGGAGCCAAAATCTCTTTTTAAGCTGCTGTTAAGCAGCCTCAACCGCACAACACATTTTATAACAGCAAAATGCTGAAACATAAAAGTGCAGTTTTCAGTCCGTATAGATTAAATACTACTGTGTAGTAGAAGTTACCCAATAAGCTTGAAGTAGGAACAGAAAACCCAAGTATTGTCTTCTAGCTTTGAGTAATAATGATGGAAAAAAATGGAAATGGAGCAGGACTCCTATTGGCATCTACTGAGCTAAAGCAAACATAAAGCTAACACAGAACAAAAATTTTACAATGTGTCAGCTCTCCAATTCATAAATTCCTGCTCTCTTGTTATGCATAAGCTAACAGTTGTCTGCTGCATAGGTGATATATCTTAACCTTCTGCATGTTGAGTTGCTAATTGGTCCAGAACATATCTCAGTGGTTGCTGGTTTATTTATCATGATGCTGAGGTCATGAAATCTGGTTGTGCAACTCTAGGGGTAACTGCTCCATAAAAAGATCTTCATGGCAATGCAAATCTGTCTTGTATGATATCTCTCATGAAATATAAACATGTCTCCCCTGATGGAACCTAGATTTTAATGGTACAGAAACCGGCACAGGCTGTGAAAGCACAACAGTCATTAATGAGAGAAACTTGGAGCACAAATGATAACGTATCTGCTTTTCCTTGTCGGTGAAAGCAAAAGTGACGAATTACAAGCATTTTGTTTCTCCCAAGTTTGTAAAATCAATCAGAGTGGGAGAAAAGAGGGAGAAAGAAAGTCAAATAATGGTGAGATGAGCAAAAAAGACAACGGGATTAAGAGCAGGAACAGTTACTATGACTGTGACAGTGTGTATGTTTGTGACAAGTGGAATCTCTGCTCTTTTATTCCTAAAAGACTTTGTCGCAAAGAAGAAGTTCAAAGTGAAGAATGCTTAACATGAAAGAGAAACGGATTGTGTTCTAGGGCAAATCAGGCAGGCCGAGAGAGAGCAACAGCTAGGGAGGCAAAAAGTGGAGTGGTGGAGAAAATCCCTTGAGAATGAAGTAATAACATGTGATCCTTCAATGTAGCAGAAAAGAAACCGCTGTGAAGCCTTAATGATGGCGCCGTTTTCTCCAAAGCTGTGTAGCAGAGACAATTATAAAAACAGCAGAGTCATGCAGCTACCTGTTGAGGTATGGCAACTTAAAGGAGGGGCTCTTGTGTGTGCTGTGTGTTATTCAATCCAGCCAGTTAGCCCTAAGAAACCTGGGTGTCTCCAAAAACAGAGTGCACAACTCTGAATATGAACTGGTAAGGAGAAACAATTGTAGGCATACAAGTTAAGGTCCGCATACAAGTTAAGGTCCACATACACAGGTCCTATGAAAGCAATGGACATACACAAAACACAGCACAGATCTGACATTATAAAATCAT